TCGGATTGCCTGAGCCCGCGGGTTCGAGACCCGCCTGGGCAGCGAGGCAGCATCTCTACAATAAATCAAAAAATCAGCCGGGCGTGGTAGCGTATGCCTGTAATTCCGGCTACTTGGAAGGCTGAGGCGGAAGGATCGCCAGAGCCCAGCAGGTCAAGGCTGCGGTGGCCGGGAGCGGTCACTGCACTCCAGTCTGGGCGACAGAGTGAGACTCCAACTCAAAAAAAAAAAAAGAAAGACAGGACTGTGGAATCCAACCTAATGGGTAGGAATGGAGGTCAGAGATGGCTTCCCTGGAGAAAGAACAGTGAGCTTACTATGCACATAGGAGTGGAGGGGGTGGGATCAGTTACAAGATTACTCTTGGCATCTGGAATAGCCTGTGCAAAGGCCCCGAGGTAAGAGGGAACATGGGACATCGGAGGGAACCTGGTAAGAGCTGAGTGACAGGTAGGGGATCAGGCCTGACCTTGAAGATCACCTTAAAGATTTTCATCTATAACCTGAGAGCAATGCAAAGATCACTGATCCTGATAAAGTATCTATGAGGGGTATCCCCCCAAAATGGAATTTTTTTTGGAGGGCAGGCCCCTTGTAGTACAGACTTCCCCTGCTAGATAAATGTTCTAGAAACCCATTGGCATCAGTGTACCAGCTAGCATTGCTGAGAGAGGCTGTGTTCACCTTCAGTGAATTTTTTTGTGGGAGAGGGATTCTTTCAACACATTTGCCCATCTCATTATGGGTGATTTACAGGTGCACTTGTCCACACCTCACTGAGTGTTCAGCAGTTTTTGACCAAAAATAGCATGATCCCATGCCCAACCCTTCCTATTAACCAAACCTCTCCCCAACAACTTTTTTTTTGGTTTGTTTCCCCAGATGAAAAAAGTTCTCAGAGAGAAACGTTTTGCTGATGTGGAAGAGGTGAAACAAAAAATGGCAGAAGCACTAAAAAGCGTCCAAATTGACAAGTTCAAAAACAGTTTTGAGCAGTGGAAAAAGGGTCTTATTAAGTATATTGCATCAAACAGAGAGTACTTTGAAGGTGACTGAAGTTAACACAAGTAAGAATAAATACACAATTTTTAATAAATAAATTCTGGGGTTTTTTAGGTCCCTCTCATATATTGGAGAGAACAAAAGTAAATGAGGGTGACCACTCCTGTCCTTCCCCTGTGTGACGACTCCTGCCCTCCCCTGGGTAACCACTTTTGTCCTTCCCTGAGTGACCATTCCTGTCCCCTCCCGGGCAACCACTCCTGCCCTCCCCTGGGCGACCACTCCTGTCCTTCCCCAGGCGACCACTCCTGTCCTTTCCTCCATACTTGGCCCCTTCCAACCAGGGTTCTTCTGCTTCTGTTCTCACCTCCCAGAGCCTTTCAGCCTGTTCTGCTACCCATGCCTTCCAGTGCCCTGTCCTTGGGTGTCACCCTGGTGGCCTGTCTTTGTCTTTTCCCGGATGGAGCCTTCCCTCTTTCCTCGTTTTGCTGCCCCGTGCCTCCAGGCCCTCAGACCTCCAGGTCCCCACATGGGGCCCAGCTCCAGCTTCTGGATGGGCGGCCTGCTGCGTGCCGTGGAGGGTGCAAACCCCACAACCCAGATGTGGGTCTGAGAACCTCTGGGTTCTTATCTCACTGGGCCCCTGCCAGTCTCATTGGAAAAGCAACTCTGGGCTATGGGGCAGGGAGGGGACAGCGGACATAGATTCTATATGTTGGCACCAAAGTGAAACCCACTAAAGGGAAGCACACACAGCAGACGGGGCACCAGCCTTTATTGTTGGGACTTAGTTCACTGAAGGAGAGGTAAATTGTTGGGGCAGGGTTAAGGTACTAAAAGTCAACTGGCAGGAGTGGGTGAGGGGAATAATAGGTCATGTTGGGAGGTGAGGCATTGGGGACAAGGAGAGGGACAGAGGAAAGGGCTTCGGGGGCAGGGGGCAGGGGGAGGGGAGGGCACCGAAGAAGCCAAAGGCCAGTGGCTGGGACCTGGGAGGAGGCAAGCTGTGGAAATGGACAGTGCCCGGGACTTCCCAGAGGGCCTCCTCACTTGCGAGCACCCAGTGCCAGGGCAACGATGAAGCCCACAACCAGCAGGAACATGGCGACAGAGAGCAGCACTGTGATGACCACCATGCCTCCTGTTCGGGCCATCCCCAGCCCAATGGATTCCATATTCTTTCCTGTCAGAAGAAGAGGGGGGCATCTTTGTGGGCAGGAGAGACCCCTAGCCTGCCCGAGGCCCGTAGCCTAGTCCTCATCCAACCAACCCACCCACCAACATCCATCGAATAAACATTTGGAAGCACCCATCAGCCAATGAGGACTTAGATGTTATTAGGACACACCTCCTCTTTAGAAGTTATTAGGACACACCCGCTATTCATGAGGGCCTTTAGTTCTGTAGTGCAGTTGCCCTGCTAAGGGCTCAGTCACGGGGCAGTTGTTATGCTAAGGATTCAGTACTAGGACAGAGGTAAGCAAAGGCCCTGGGGGAGGGAGGCGGGGAGGTGCAGCTAACCCGGACTGGGGGATGAGGTCGGAGGGGTCAGAGAAGGTTTTGTGGACCTTGAGGTGGCAAAAGGAGGCGGGAGAGTTACTTACGAGGCAGTGTGGACATTGGGACCTCTCTGCTGGACTCAGTGGATGCCCCCTTCTTCACTAGGTAGGAAATGCTTTCATGATGGGTTTGGAAAAGAGAGGAGGGAACCCTCGGTGAGTACCTGGGTCTGAGGGGAAGAGGGGTTCCAGCTTGGGCCTTCCCACTTTCACAGCTCTGCCCTCTGTGTGCACTCCTCCAAGAAAGGCTCAGTTTTTGTTTTCTGAGTCAGTATCTCACTCTGTCACCCAGGCTAGAGTGCCGTGGCACGATTGTGGCTCACCGCAGCTTAGACCTTCTGGGCTCAGGCAATCCTTCCACCTCAGTCTCCTGGGGACTACAGGTAGGAGCCACAAGCCCAGCTTATTTTGTTTTGTACCCATGAGATCTCACTATGTTGCCTAGGCTGGTCTCGAACTCCTGGACTCAAGCAATGGAGGGCTTCAGATTCCTCCCAGTTTGACCTCCCAAAGTGCTGGGATTACAGGCGTGAACTACTGTACCTGAAGACCAGTTTTTGGCTGTGCCCTGTACTGATCAGATTTCCACACCCCCCCTCCCAGCTTTTCTTCCTGCACCCCCCTCCTGCAAGTGCCCCAGACCTGGACCGGGTACCTACTAGTATTTGGTTCCTGGCACGAGGTTTGTCACCTGGTATGCACTGAGCCGAGAGACTGTGAAGCCAGCCCCACTGTCCACCACACTCACCAGCTCCCTTCGCCCACGGCATGGAGGCACCACGAAGCTGGACTTCACCACTGGGCAGGAAATTGGGGTTGGAAGGTAGAGTCAGGTTTCTGGAGGCCCCGAGGAGAAGGGGCAGCTTTTAGAGTGTGGATGGCGCAGGAGAGGGATTGACAGACAGGAAGGCATAAATGGGGAAGGGATGCTGGGGGTGTCTTGGGAAGGAGTCTCTGGGGACTTAAGGGGATGACTTGGGGGGGGCAGCAGACCTTTGCTGTCATTGGCTCTCCGGACCATCAGTGTGGCGTTGCCTCCTGTGAGGTGACAGGGGGGCAAGGCAACTAGCAGGCTCTCAGTTAGCGCCGGGGACAGCAGACCAGAAAGGCTTGAGATGTTGAATTCTGCTGGGAGGCCAGGAGGGAGTTCAGATGGGGATCAACCCCTCTTTTGGCCATCAGATCCCGCCCCGTCCATCTGGGGTCATTCCTAAGGATGCAGAGTCCATCTCCCCTTCCACTCCACAGTCCGTGGGCAGCAGAGCCAGGCCTGTGCTGCTGTGACCACCAGGTGGCAGGCTTGGGCTGCAGAAGCTGCACACTCACGAATTAGCCCCTGGATTCAGACCATGAATGTCAGGAGCTTGGGCCTCCCCACCTTCACAGCACCCCCCCTCACCCCTACCCACCTCGGACCTCTGCCCACACCTCTCTGCTTCCTTGGTTTGGAAGAAGATCAGGAGTGTGCCCTGGGCCTAGTGTCTCATGCCTGGTCACTGTCTTCACCAGCGCCCACCCCCAACTATCCAGACCAGCTCTTCTTTGCGAGCCCTGAAAGGCAGTGACTCCTGTCCAGGTCCCCAAGGCCCTCCCCTCCCCTGCTAGAGATGGCAGAGACCTGCAGCCCCTGGGGCCAGGACAGCCAGCAGAATCAGGATCGAGGGCAAGGAACAGACGGATAGCAGGGATGCCATGCTGGGCTGGGAGCTGGAACAGGTGCTGGCAGGCTGGGGCTTCCTGAGACAAGTGAGGCCCTACCCCCAGGGGCAGCTGTTTTTGTCCTGAGGGTGGGAGGGGCTGGAGGGGAATCCAGTTCAACCTGCCCCTTGGGCCCTATAGCCTCAAAAGGGGCGAGGAGCAGACAGGTTTTTCAGGATGGGGAGCTGGCCCTCAGGCCAGGAGGAGGGATGCCCTGGCTGGATTCTGGTGGCTTAGCCAGCTGCAGGGGGCAGGGCAACTAGGGGGAAGTAGAAATTGCCCCTTCTTCTGGGACTCCTGTGTGTGCCTGCCTCTGGGCCCTGGCCTGTAGGGAACTGTTCCCTGAGATGATGGGGGTCTTCCCGGGAGGGAAGCAAATTCTGAGGTTGCCCTGCTATGTAGGAAGAGGACAGTAAGCAAGGGCTCCTGAAAGGGCCTTGGCTGGGTAAGAATGAGAGAGAAGCAGACAGGTCATAGAGGGTAGGGACAGCAGAGCCAAGGGTTTCAATTTGTGGAATGGGCCGAGGTTCAGATACTGCTGCTCTGGAAGAGGCAGGGGGTGTCAGTGCTATAGACTATGGAGGGCTTCAGATTTCTCTGGAGGGTGGGGACAAGGGAGGCCAGGGGAGAATTCTGGAGAGCCCAGAGAAGTGGACACTGATCCAGTCCAGCAGGGGCAGGAGGTGGGCACAGACAGTCTTGGGCAGCAAGCATTTGTTGAACTGACTGAGAATTAAGAAGAGAAAGAGACCTGGTGAGTGAACATGAGAAAGAGACACAACTTCTCTGACCATCCCCCAGCCCCGGGCACCATAAGACAGACGTGGAGGAGGAGTTCTGGGTCGGGGGAGAGAGAGATGAAGAGTCAGCACCTATTCTGGGCACTAGACAGGGGCTCTGCGTGTTCCAACGTACTTAGTCCTACAGCCATCCTAGGTGGTGGATGCTATGGCTTTCTTTTTTTTTGAGTTGGAGTCTCACTTTTGTCCCCCAGGCTGGGGTGCAGTGGCATACTTATGGCCACCACAGTTTCCACCTGCTGGACTTAGGCGATCCTTCCACCTCAGCCTTCCAAGTAGCTGGAACTACAGATGCACGCCACCACGTCCAGCTAGTTTTTGTGATTTATTGTAGAGACAAGGTCTCTCCAAGTTGCCCAGGCTGGTCTTGAACCGTGGACTCAGGCAAACCTCTTGCCTTGGCCTCCCAAAGTGCTGGGATTACAGGCTGAGCCACCGCGCCCAATTGGCTCTCTTTTTCAGAAGTGGAAACTGAAACTGAGACAGAGAGAGTCACCTGTGGAAAGTGGAATGCTTTTTGAGGAGAGGTTGCAGAGCTTTGCAGAGGTCTGAGACTCTACAGGGTCTGTGGCTGTACATTGGAACAAATCCATGAACTGATCTGATCTATCTTCCCCTGTCCTGGAGAAGGGCCAGGGTCCTGGTAGGAAAGTGAAGGAGGTTGTATCCTTACCCTCATGATGGGAAGGGTAGGCTCAAAGTTTGGGGTATAAGTGAGGAATGACAGTAAAGACACAAATCACGGGCTCAAGCTGAGAGTAACAGCGTCCATTTTAGGCCCGTGCTCCTCCAAATTTACTGTGAATATGAATCACCAAGGATCTCGTTAAGATGCAGTTTTCGATGCACTGGGTCTAAGGTGAAGCCCGAAGTTCTGCATTTCTAACAAGCTTCCTGGTAACACTGATGATACCACACTTGGAGTTGCCAGCTGCTCTATAATTGTTACCCACCCCTCACCCTGCCACGCATGCAGGATCCTCTTCGATGGAGATCAGGGCAGATGTTGTTCCCCAATCTGCCAAGGCAGGTTGCCTTTGGTGAAGAATTCGATTCTATTTTTCCTGCACATTGGCTTTTGTCCCCTTTTAGATCTGATCCTACCATCACTCTACAAACTGAAAGAGGATCTTTTGCACCTTAAGGAGAACTTGGGAGCGAGGGAACGGACTAAATGGTGTAATTCCAGGGCAGGAAGATCTTGCTGGTATTCCTCAAAACCCACCATCCACCTGGCAAGATGTTTACACTAGAACTTGGGAGGTCTGTCTCCCCATTTCAGTCACAACCAGGAAGCAGAAAAGAGAAGAGGCTGGGTTTATTGCATGAAGGGTTGTGTTGGGTCCACTCCTAAGCCCCCATCCCTATCTGAAATTAGGAGTGGGACAGAGTGAGGTAAAATCCAGTAGATCTCTGACCAGATTTTAAAGGGATAAGAGGGCCCTGTGCCTTTAAGCCCTCCCTTCTAATCCCCCCACCTTCCCACCCTGGCCCTCCCCAGGTTTCTGGAGGAGCTGAGAGTTGCGTCTTCTCCCTGCCCTACCGAGCTGCTCACTGGCTGCTCTGGAGGCTGTGCTTTGCGGTCTCCATGGAAACCATTAGTTGCTAAGCAACTGGAGCATCATCTGTGCTGAGCTCTCGCATCTAATTATCCCATCACAGCGGCTGAGAAGGGTTTGGGGAGCTGAGAGGAGGGGGAGGCCAAGCGCAGGAGCAAGAGGATAACTCTTTTAGCAGAGCAGATTCATTGACAATGCTGAAGTCATTTAAAGCCACAGCACCCTCTTCCTCTGGAGGATTTCCCAATGGCTTGGCGTAAGGGAATCAGGGCCACACAAACCTGGAGTCTCTCTCGGACCCACTCTTTCTCCTATCTCCTCCTGGAATTCTTGATTCTAAACTCTCTCAAGTTCCCTCCCTGCCTCCTTTCTTTCAAATCTCCTATTCAAGTTAACAGACATTTGTTGAGTACCAAATACGTCCTTGAAACCACACTAGGCACCGGGGATATAAAGGTAAGACATGTTTCTGCCCTGAAACAGCACCACATGCCTCTATTCTGCCCAGCCTGGAAGACTATCTCCTAAAACAAGCCTCCTCTTTCTGGACTATGGTACTTTTCTTCCCTTGAGCTATGGCAGTTCTACAACCAGAAGAGCTGGGATCAGAACCCGGCTCTGTCTGACATGTTTGCAGTTCTCTTTTTCCAATGCCACTCTTCTCCTCCCAGTCATTTAGAAAAGCACATCCATTTGGCTCCATGGCATGTCAGTCTCTGATGGCAACTCTTGTCTTCCTGTTGATGAGATGCCATATGACCTTAGATGGATCACTCTGAATCTCAATGTCCTCACCTTTAAAATGGGAAGACTCACCGGGCTCGGTGGCTCAGCCTGTAATCCCGCGCCTTTGGGAGACTGAGGTGAGTGGATTGCCTGAGCCCGTGGGTTCAAGACCTGCCTGGGCAACTTGGCGAGACCTCATCTCTACAATAAATCAAAAATCAGCTGGGCGTGGTAGCGCGCGCCTGTAGTTCCAGCTACTTGTAAAGCTGAGGCGGAAGGATCGCTGGAGCCCAGCAGGTAGAGGCTGCGGTGGCCGGGAGCGGCTGCTGCACTCCAGTCTGGGCGACAGAGTAAGACTCCAACTCAAAAAAATAAATTAAAAAAATAAAATAAAATAAAAATGGGAAGACTCGTTCCTTCCTTACTCAGAAAATTTAGCAAGATATGACAGGTGTAAGAACACTTTAAGGCCAGGCTCAGTGGCTCAGCCTATAATCCCTGCACTTTGGGAGGCCGAGGCGAGTGGATTGCCTGAGCCCGTGGGTTCGAGACCCACCTGGGCAACTTGGTGAGACCTCATCTTTATAATAAATAAAAAATTAGCCGGGCGTGGTAGTGCACGAATGTAGTTCCAGATGCTTGGAAGGCTGAGGTGGAAAGATCGCTGGAGCCCAGCAGGTCGAGGCTGCGGTGGCCGGGAGCGTGCCACTGCACTCCAGTCTGGGCGACAGAGTGAGACTCTGACTCAAAAACAAAAACAAAACCAAAAAACAAACTGCTTTAAAATAAAGATGCAGGAGAAGTGCTGGAGACCATTGTTATAATCTGTTGGAGCAGCTAGGGTTGGGGAAAGCCTGGGGAATTAGACCTGGAGGTGAGATAGTGTTCACCAAATACTGGTCTGTTGGGAAGTGGTGGAGCCTCTATCCTTGAGAGTTTAGGCTGGAAAACACCGTGAAAATGAGGAAATTCCAGTCACTCAGGGTTGAAGAGACCTGAATGTTCCATTAAACAAAAATGTAACTGGTGATATAACCACTTTCTCCAAGTCTTCCAGCTTTGTGACCTTGCCCAAATTGCCTACCTAACTGTTCTGAGCTGCAACTTCCTCGTCTGGGGAAAGGGCATACAATCTGTCTCACTGGAATATTGCGATTATCACTCAAGTTAATTTATTTACGAATGCCCGGCACAGTATCTGGTTCAATAAATATCAATTTAAGTAATTCATCTGATCCTCTCCTTTTTATTAACCCTTGCTGCAGGTGAAGACTAGAGACTCAGAGGCAACAAATGACTTTCCCAAGGTCACAGAGCAGACAGGGAAGGAGGTGGGAGTTAATTCAGCATTTGTTTTTCCAGCTGTGTCATTGATACAAAGGTAGATGTTTGGATGGGGAAAGGTAGCCTGAGGGAGGAAGTGACTGAAATATGGACCGGTGGTTCCTGCATGCCAAGCACGCCACAGGGGTATCAGGCACATAGGAATCACTTGCTCATTCATTCACCCATTAAACATTTGTTGAACAACTCCTCTATGGTGGTATCATGACAGGGACTGAGATGCAGAGATGACAAGACACAATTTCTGCTCTAACTTGCTTAGTTTTCAAGAAGGAGCCAGAGTTAGCCTGATTGAAATAAGTGAAAGGGCCGGGCTCGGTGGTTCAGCCTGTAATCCCAGCGCTTTGGGAGGCCGAGGTGAGTGGATTGCCTGAGCCCATGGGTTCGAGACCCGCCTGGGCAACTTGGCGAGCCCTCATCTCTACAATAAATCAAAAATGAGCTGGGCGTGGTAGCGTGCGCCTGTAGTTCCAGCTACTTGGAAGGCTGAGGCGGAAGGATCTCTCAAAAAGAAAGAAAGAAAGAAAGAAGTGGAAGAGGATATTCCAAAAAGAGGGAACAGCATATGAAAAGGCGCCAGCCCTTCAAGTAG